CAACTTTTCAATTTCGAACAATTCTTCGGTGATTATTGCACGACCATTGCTCCCAATCACTGGCTGTATCGACGGATATTCGATTGGGAAAACTAGTGACACTGGCCGTCCCATCGGGTTTCACTGAATGGCTGCATTTCGATGCTCTTCAATTATCCGATCGTGGAGGTGTGAACGTCAGCCCGAAAAGAGCAGGGGAGCTTGAAAAAAAATAGTTGATCCTGGTGGGGGGTGAGTGAGACTTTACATCAGAAACTTTTTGAATGAAATATCACGTCTTCCGCTTGTTTTTTTCTTCTTTCAAGGAGGGAAAAATAAATTTAACAAGTTTATTGTACGCCGAGTGAATTCTTATGAAGGAGGTGACAAATGGTGCGAAAGGCCCGGGGCGAAGGAAGTTCGAGGTATTCTTAGTGTGGAAAAACCGTTGCGATAAGTTTTCCATCGGAGGAAAAATTCAGGACGATTTTTCTTATTTCAAAGAATTTGGGAAATTCATCGATCTTTTTAAAGTTGAAAGAATTAAAAATTGTTTTTGATGAAATTTTCAGTGAAATCTGACATTTGATGATTTTTACCCCAAATCTGAATTCAATGCCACTCTCCTGCAAATTACAAGTCACCTGTCCACAAAATTTGATTTTTTTCCACCAGTTTCAATGGGAGGAATAATTATCAACGAAACTTGAAATTGCAGTTTCTCTATAGAGTTGAGTTTCACTCCAATTAACAAAACCAATTCACCCAGCCGTCCCCAAATTTCTGGCCCCAGCATTTCGAAACTCCGGGAGTAGTGCAAGTTTGACGCATTCTGCTATCTCCAAAAATGATTATTGCAAATTAGGAAGCAAAAAAAAAGTATTATAACTCTTTATAACCCTCATAAAAAATTCAAATAAAAAATTTTGTTATTTATTTAAGAATGGAAAGTATCAGAAAAATTACTCCTGAAATTTCAAGCAAAAAGAAACAAAATTCCAAATTTGACAATCAAACAATTAAAGAACAAAAAATCTCCCTACAACAATAATTTTCCCTTCCTCATAAAAAAGTTGAAAAAAAACCCTGATCGATACTGTCCTCATCACCCAAAAATTGGGAAACAATTATCACAACAGCTTGAGCCCGTAATCCCCGAGTGAACTTGACTCCAATTAACAAAACCAATTTGTCCCCCATCCTGCAACTTCATTCAACAAATTTCAACTTCCAAACAAAAAAAATCACCTCCCCTATTCCTCCGTCGAGTGACTCTCGCCGAGGCGGTGTCGTTGTAATCCAAAATTGTCCCAATTAAATTCCAAATGAGAAACAACGCGGCAATGCACTCCGGCAAGCCGGTAATACCAGAATCGAACAATTAGGATTCCCTGACTCTCATCAACTTGCCAGTGTAAACGCCTGAATGGCTGTTTGTTTTCCTTGTCATCGGATCGCCCTGTGCCACCATTAGTCAGTTGCACACGTGAGCCACATGTATATGTGTACACTAGATAGTATCAACCCATGAATTTGCGGGCGTTATAAACACGAAAATAGTTGGAACTGTTGAAACGACTTTCCCACCGCTTGCGGAAGCGCGAGATATCTGGCCGAAGATTTATAAATAATATACCGGGGGAATGGTTGAAAATTTTTTCACACGGGCAAAGTGAAATGATGAAATCTCAACATCCACGTGCACCTCAAAAGAGGTAAATTGGATTATACGATGAGTGCCATATTGCATATTGATCGAGAGGCTTCATTGCGAAATTTCGTGCACCAGATATCGTACATTTGCGCACGATAATGGCACATCCATGCTTTCTGGTACTTTTGGTAAATCCCACCGCCTACTCCGTTCATTGAGAGTCAAGGTGCATGGGGATGCTGGAGAATATCCGCAAAACGAGCCAACCGCGCAAAGTGGATTAAATGAAAATATAATGAGCCTGAATATACATGATATCGAACTTTAACACTGTGGCTTTTCTCGGCGTGAGAAAAATCACGGGGTAATGCACAGAGTGCGACGCAATTTTAAAATTAAGGCGGAGGGATGAGGAATTCGTGGTAATGAGGACATAGTGCGAAATGTTAATTAGGAGGGGGTGAACGTAAAGTTAATTTGGCGATTGAGGGAGAGGGGAGTGCATAATTTCATACGTCTGCTGTGGGTTTTTGCTACGTTTCATTTTGAGGCGGTGAGGATTTTCTAGTCTTGTTGAGGAACAATGGAATGGAAATCCGGAATGATTATGCACGAAGCGTTAGGGCTGTAACTTCTTGATTTTTCATCATTTTCCTGACTAAAAGAATACTTTCTTTTAACAATTAAATATTAATACTGAAATTTACAGTTTACAATGATTTTCTCATCAAATTGTTAATCTTCACTGATGAAATTCTTTTGAATTTCAGTTAAACTTTCACTAAAATAAATTCAAAAATTAAAACAACAAGTTTTATACAATGAATCAATTTCAAAATTCTTTATTCAACGAAATAAAAATAATATAAAAGAAATTCTTCATGTAAAACTACCTAAAAGGCCTGAAACGCTGAATTGAATTTTTTATTTCTCCGAATGAAACAGAGTGATTCACTCCTCCGTGAAATCAATAATATTTTCCCGCTCGTGATACAACCCCACGGTAATGCGTTGAGGCATTGATCGGCTACTCGTCAAGGTGGGGCTACAGCAGACAGACCGGACGACAAAGTGAATGGGAATGAATAATAAAAGCCTCTGGCCGTGTGTATAGATTCCCTCTTCCCTTGGGCCGTGGTGATAGACACCAGGGGAGTTCTCTGTTCTCGGGTTTTGTCGAATGAATTTTACACGTAATCCAACATGACTCTGTGCAACAATGTCAATTCTAGGCGCATTGAGACCATTCATCGGCATTCGTGTTTGTATACAAGGGGCCTGTTGTCGACAGTCAGACGCACGTGTTGAGAGGGGAAAACCCGTGAAATCGTACCTCAGGACTTCCCTCCCTCCCCCACCCCCCTCCCACCTCGAACCAATACACCACAATGAGCAGAAGTCAATCTCCTTGTGAACACGGAGAGAACAATTCAATAAAACTTAATCAATAAAATTATCAGAAAAAAAAAACGGAAAAATCACGTTTCGAAACGTAATCCGCGAGCGAAGTAAAATTCAATAAAAAGTGTGAGTCGGAAGTGAAATTGTACGAATCGCCACGTAAATTCTACCATTTGTTCCGTAAAAATTCACCAGCCGTCTGATGACTCACCGCTGCGGGGACAACAAGTCGTTCTGTAATTTTTCCCCAACGATTGAGAAATTTTACGGAACGGAACGTAGAAATGACTCGCCAGCTTCATAAAAATTGGTGAACTTTCAAGAACTTTTGATTTTGATGATTGGCCCCAGTAAATTCCCGTACTTTCCCCACTGTCATTTTTTTTCAAGATTTTTCCCTTCAAATTTCACCGAATAAATCGACCTTGCCCGCCGAATTCTTTCGCTACATGTTTGGCGATTTCATTCGACTCAACTCGGCATAGGTCAACCGGAAGAATTGCACGAAATATCCCCGGTGCTTTTATTTTCCCTTGAAGTCACCCACCTATTCCCTTCGTTTTCTCCCTCATGCCTATCTCCCACGCGCTATTACACTCCCCGAGGGACAATATATTCTTATTTCATCCTACTATCTCTCCAGAAACCTGAAGGCATACACAAATTTGTGTATATGGAAGTGGTATTCACGGAACTGGTGGCTTTATCCACTACGTTATCCAGAATTATCGTGAATTATTTATGTTCTCGTGTTGAAAATTTTTGTACAACGATTGCGTCCTGTTTTCCCCTCTGCGTTGTGCCATTTTTTATTTTTTATGGGGAAAGGGGGAGGGGGTGGCCATGTTTTATTCCTGAAGTGGCGCTTTTTGTTGTTGAAACTGGAAGTTTTTATTTATTCAGCTTTTTTTTTTTTCGTTTTCCGGGTGTACGTAACGGGATTCATCGGCTGAATATCGAAAACGGTCGCATATGGGGAAACACGGAACTGGGAATACGTGTGGAGTTCACTCGGAAACTTTTCAACGCGAAGAGTAAATTATACCTGGGTGTATGGCGTCATTGTTCTGTGTACCTCTGGAATGGTGGGTATTTTTGTGATATTGCAGAACGTGGGGGTTCGTGGAACCAATAAAGGGAATTGCGGTTGGGTAGTCAAATATGCTGGGAAAAACGTATGTGGTGGGGCAATCGCGAGTCGGGTTATATTTCTGATTTGATGAAACGATGTCATATGGAATAAACGGTATTTGAGGTCTGTATGAATGGAGAATAGTGAAGATGTTTGAGGGAAGAGACGGACTTTTGGGAGAAGGGGGGAATGGAAATTGAGGTACACGGGAATTTAACATTTTCAATGGGTTAAACATATTTCGAGAGTGCTTTTTTCTGAGTGGAGTGGTTGGGCACAGGCAGAAAGGACGGAATAGTGGCTGCTTGGCGATAAATTGGAGTAGCGAAATGGTAAAACGTAACAACTCATATTTTTTCCTGTGTCCAAACGGTGGATTACAACCACAGAACTAATTTTGTTGAATTTAATAAATTTTTTCTTGTGAACAAATGGATTTAGATAAATAGCTCGTGATAAATCTTTCATCCAAACGTGAAGTTCACTTTTATTGTGTTTTTATTCGCGTAAAATAAACAGTTCTTTTAAAATCAAAACGAAATTTTTCTCGATTTTTATTTGGAAGGAATGAACTGTTTATTTCGTGTGGAGTTTTTATCAAAATAAATATATCAGTTTATTTATTTTCGGTGGATGTCCATCAAATATTCAAGGAGTACATTGATCTGTCAGTGAAAAATCCATTGAAAGTTCATGCAAATTTATCGTTGATAGAAATTTTAAGAATTATTTTCTCAAAATGTAGATGAATTTGTGACGCTTTACCATATTACTACTTTCACTCGGTCGATAATTATTTCAGAAATATTATTCAACAAAATTAGGCAGACTTACAATAGGTGTCTGTGGTCAGGCGATCGATAGTGTCTTGCTTGAGTTTGCTGTTTTTCTTTCCCATTTTTCGTTGGTCTCTTCTGTTTTTTTAATGTTTTCAAACCCACCAGGTTTCACTGGTGGATTTTCACTTCACTCGAGCCAAGTTAATTCACCTCAACGTTTTCACCGGTTCTTGTACATTCTGTGTGTCTTTTTTTTTTTTTAAATGTTTTATCTCCACTAAACCTGTCCTTTGAGATTTATTCACGTTGCTCTCTCAGCAGCACCAAAAATTTATCGGCTTATTCTGGGTGACGTTTTTTATCTCCACTTATTCTCCTTCGGGGCGCAATTTCCTTCTAGTGTGGCAGACGGGAATTGCTATGTATAGGGAGAAAATTAATCAATTGAAAATTGTTTGGGGGGTTTGGAGGGAATTGATAGAATGTACGTATCGATGAACAATTTCAGGAAATATTTGGGTGGAAATATTTGACAACTGGTTCACATGAAGTTTTGTTGAGTTTAAATTTATTTCCGACAGTGCTCAAGTGAATGAAATGCTCAAGTGATATGAAATGAATTCATTAATTGCGAATAAATTATCCAAATACAGGATCATTACATGTTAACAAATTCCTTCTCTTCCAACTAATAAAATCTTTGTCCGGAGCAGAAAACATCAGTTTATTTAATTCAAATGAACTATTCCCTCGGGTGTATGAAGCCCCCAAAAAATAGAAAGAAAATAGGAGTTTAAATCCATCAGCAATTTTTCTTTCACTCAAGAAGAAAGAACAATTTATTTTTAAATGAAACTCAAAACTTTCATGGATAGGGTATTCCCTGAAACTTTATCGCAGCGTGTTGAACTCGTGCACATAACAGTGTCTTCACTATCTTGTGGAAACTCCAGCAAGTCGAGAGAAGAAGAGTGGAAAGACGTATGAGGCAAATTTCAGGAAAAGTGTCGTTAAATTGAGTTTAGTACTTTCCACAGGTAAACAATTGTTCATAGGATCCACTCGTTCGTCTCGTTTCACCCCGAGACTTGGAGATAAAGGGGAAATGGAAAGAGGTGGAGCACTTAATTTTCTGTATATCTGTTGCAACGTTTAAAATGGAGGAGAGACTCGAGAAATAGTGGACGTAAAAGTACTCTGGGCGGGGGAGAATCTCTCAGCAGAGGTGAATGGTTGAACTACGATTGTCATTAGTGCTGGCAGTGCTGAGGGTTAAAGAGCAAATGCTGGGAATTGTTACTTTGGGATTAGGAGGAAACGATTCTTCTTCATTCTTTATCGCTTGCTTCTTTGTCTTTACTGCGGAATTGTTGGATGGAAATACTTGGAGTGAAATTTCGAGTTGAGAGATAAATGTTTAACGAGGGATATTCCGCACTGCTGAGGGGTCATAAATGGCCTCCTCAAGCTGTCAACTTCACTCGTTTCCCACTCCGTACACCTGGTGAATCCATGTTGATGGGAATTAAAAACATAAGGATTTAAGTTGGTCGTGGGGAACAGGATTTCATTGAATTACGATTTGGCTCTTTATTCAACGTAGTTCGGTTCAGGATGGGAGTTGGGGAGTTGGAGCGGGGATTTTGAGGGACTGAGAAACTTCATATTGAATTGAAACAAAGGAAAGAGTCCGGTTTTTTGCAGTTGCTTTCGAGATATAGATTAATAACTTTTTATTCTGCACTGGAGGGTTAGAAATTATTGTCTCAATTCTCAAATTTTGTCGAATTTTGATTAAGGGACATTTCCTCTGGGATTTTAGGGAGTCATTCCCATTGAGAAATCAAATATTTCATAATTTTTTAAAATGAAATGTTAAAAAAATTATAAAAACTGTAATTTTCAGTTAAATTACTCCGTGAAAATTGGAAAAAAATCAGGAAAATCTGGGTGACAATTGGAAATTCTGGCTATTTTGATTCTGACTCTAATTTAAATTCTCAATCTCGTCGCGTTCTCAAGATGTCATCATTTTGCCAAATAAAAAACAAATTGAGTTAAAAACAAAAGTGATACACTTAAAAACATCACTAGAAACCATTAGTTTTTATTCAAATCCACCAAAATTCTGTCCGCAAACCTCCAAGTGAAACCCCATAATTTCCATCTATGCCAGCATTTTCCAAAAAGCCCACATTCATCCGCTTTTCGACTTTTATCAATTGAAAATCCGTATTTTCCGTGTCCCACGGTATGGAACAATGACGATAGATACCATAGGGTATGGACCAGGGGGTGGAGGTACGGCAGCACGCGCAGTGGATGAACGAGATAAATCCTTACCAGCTGGAATGGAAACGAGAGGGATTGAACGACCGAGAGAGCGAAAGAGAGAGAGAGCGAGAGAGAGAGAGAGAGAATTGGCGCAAAAGCGATTGGTCGCTGTGTGATGTTACACCGCGTGCACCAAATTTCTCGCCCTTGGCCCCGTGCGAGCGCGCAACTGACAGATTTTCCAAAGGCTTGAGAGGAGAGATGATGGGCATATAACTCGTTAGTGAAATCCCATCTATTATGCTGACATTAATGAAAATTAGTGGAAATCCCCCAGAGTAACAATTGATGGGTAACTTTTGCCACTCACAAATTAATTGTCACTCGATTCATCAAAAACTTCACATCACTTCACAGAAAATGAAAGAAATGAAAAAATGATGTCATGCGCGGAATTGAAGTTTTTAATGGACTTTTTCGAGTTTTATTACCAGGATGCAAGTAAAAATTGATAATACACCGTGAGAGTCAACTTTTCATTCATAAAATGATGGAGAAAGAGAGAGATAGACGGGACAGTAGAGGGGATAAAGTTGACTTGGCACGATTCTATTCCCCAGGACAATGAGATAACCGTGTTAGAGAAGTCAACGGGGTGACGTAGTCATAGCGTTACGGGCCCCGGCGTCAGACTGGCTCGCGTATATACGTGGTGTTATACGGGTGGCACTTGCTAGGAGAGTACAATCGGGGCGCAGGCGCTTTTACAATTTCCCATATCACACGAACTGGGGAAAGTATGAGTGGGATACCAAGAAGGCAACTCAAATTAAAGGATTGTAATGTATTGTTCGCCGTTGCGTGATAAGCGGGGTATCAGACGGCTGGTCAACTTGGCACCTGGGACAATGAGCCATTAGCGTGCCATTATTGGTGTTGGGGTAATCTATTAGTCGGGGAGTTGATGGATTTTGATATTTTCAAGATGACGACGGGATTTTTTTTCTTCAACAACACGTTCAAGTGACACGTTTAACCATTTTTCAATGTTATAAATAACTAATTTCACAGTTCTTATCATGAAATTTTTTTTTTTATCGTATCATGAAATTTCAACGAAAATACAGTTTTAAAATATTCAAGTACCTGTTATCTTCGTGAGGGAGCACTCTAGATTTGGGGATTTTCAATCATTGAATTGCGTGAGAAAAATTACAAAATTGAAACAAGGAAGTGTCAAGAACGTGGATATCCTCAAGTGGAAAAAAGCAGAAAAGTCAAGCGTTCAATCGACGAATAAAATATCGAAAACAATTCATCTGTTGCCTCAATCCCTCTCATCCCCCCGGAATGTCGAATAAATTTATCCATACACTGAGAGAAAAACAAACACATTATCAAACAAGTCTTCTTTGGGCCAGCAAAATTGCTAGTTGAAAATTGCCAAAGAAGAATTTGTTTGGTTCGAATTTGAAAGTCTCAAACATGAATAATTATTCTGCTTTCCACAGCAACGAAATATTTGGCTCAAGAGGCGGATAATTCACACCAGACGGTGCCTTTTCGGGATGAAAATATCTCATATAGAGGGAAATTTACCAACAAATATTTTATCCCCAAGTTACAAGATTGCTATCATATCATTGTTATTGTTTCGTTTAAGGGTTCATTTCTTGTCTGTGATTATTAGACAGCCGAAACGAAAAACTACAATCCCTTGTTTCGCATAAAACAAAGATTTTTCGGGAGCAGAATACGTATGGGAGTATCGAATAACGAAGGAGTAGTGCTAGAAATGACACTTCGTGCGTGTGCAGAGAATGAAATTTTTTTTAACTACTAAATCTATTCTTACGACAAAAATTTTTCATTCCGGCGCACTCTCTGCATGTTTGGCACAAAAAAATCCCTTTTTGATAATTTTCAAAAAACAATTTTCTTGGCACAAGTAAGACTTGTTTGAGAACTTTGTCGTTTTTCTCGCAGTGTACCCCGAATTGACGAGTAGATTCTCAAAATAAACTGGAAAATTATTGAACCCATTTCTCCATGCACACGCACATGAGACTGCTCAAGGTTACCTGACCTTCGGTCGTAGTTAACTTGTCCCGATTTAGCTCGACCATAACGACCAAAAGTCACCCAAAAACCCGTCCCCCTAGTGCCCCCCCCTCCCGCCCCATTTGAAAATTGGGAGAACGTTGGACGCGTGTTTTCTGCTTGCACGAGCTTCCCTTATCTCCACGAGTGAGTGGTGTGTGAAGGACCGTGAAGCGGAGATCCTTCCTCGGATAGAGGGGGCATGAATGGCCCCCGTTGGAGATAAGTTAACGTACAACTTGTGCCACAATGCTTAAAAGTCATTCAATGAGTTTTGCGGACATGCTGGTAAATGTCACGAGGCAGCGGATTTCCAGGGGCTAGACGAGAGGTTTTTCCACGTTTTTAAAGAGACAATAATGTTCGTCATGGATCGAAACAGTTGCCCTCGATGTATAGACAGGTTGCTGCCTACACCTGGAGTAGTGCGCACACATTCCCAAGGGGTTCTCGCAACCAGTGTTTCTTTTTATTACAAGTTTTTTTTTTATTCAAGTATTGCGTCGAAGGGAAAATAGATTGTGGTTGAGAGTGCTTTCACGTGTCTAGTCGTTTATTATAAAATGAATTTTAGTGGAAACATCAATCTCGGTTCGAGCCATCAATAATAATTTTTGGAATTTCGTGGGGAATTATTTTGCTTGAATGGGATTATAAATCGCGTGTTTTCATGATACGGATTCTTACATTATTAATATTCTGGCAAATCTGTTAATTTAGTTCAGTAGCGAAGTGGTAAAACGGTGCAAGGCCATTTTGACTATTGGCCAGTTTTCAATGAATATCTCGGAACCTAAGGGAGATGGAAAAATTTTTGTTATAACATTTTTTGTGGAGGCGATTGAGAGCTACAACAAATGTAACTACGAAAATTTCGCTGTTTCTCTTAGATTCAGGAATATTTTTCAAAAACTCAATTCGGAGATGAGTCGACTTAAAACGTTTTACCATTTCGCTACTGAATTGTAGAAAATTGGGAGGGGATTAGACAATCATAGCGACACCATGAGAATTCAATGTTTGTGATTCGA